GTGTGTGTGTGTGTGTGTGTGTGTGTGTGTGTGTGTGTGTGTGTGTGTGTGTGTCGTCTGTTGGAACGTGTTGTCACTGCTGATGTAGCGCTGAAGTTAAAACAGAACCCGTGACTCAGCAAAACTGGAGCTCCGCCTTCTTGGTCTGTTAGTACAGTGACCTCACAGCAGCCATGTTATTGGTTGGATGATGTCAATAAAAAGGCGCCAGCAGCACAAACACGGTCCAGAGGTCCAGTTCAGGTGAAGCTAGCAGATACCTGTCAGTCAAAGAGGCCACGCCCCTAAAAGTGCAAACTTTAATCCTTAAATACAAATTAGCAGAATTCACCCCGGACTGACTCACTGCTGCCTCTGCTGGATGTCAGAGGAACTGCAGCTGCTGGTGCTTCATTTTCAGGTCCCGCCGCTCCAGTCGAGTCATAAAACTCTAAAATATTTAAATCGAAAAACACAAATAAGAAATAGAAATACCCCCTCACACCTCCCCTAATGCAGCAGGTGGTCAAGTTAATCTGAAGTTCCAGGAAACTGTTGGTGCCAATCAGCAGGTGAAACATCTGCCTGACAGCCTAGTTTGTCTGACCCATGTCTTTCCTGCCTGCATGCTGCGCTATCAGTCTGATATGAAATAACATCTCATTAGTGAGTCAGACCTCTCGGTTTCACGTCAGTCAACAGAGAATTTCAAAATAAAGCTCAACGACCTCGAGTCCTCGCCACCTGCTGTGCTCTGTTTCCTCCTCACGTTTCCTCGTCTTTGTTGCTGAAGCTTCACTCTTCTTCCTCTCTTCTTCTTCGCTAACCCTCCAGCAGCTGGTGAGTCGACCAGCTCCGCCCAACAAGCCTCTCCCCCCTGACCCCATCACACCTGGACAGGTACGCCCTACCTGCATGCTGCTAGCTGCTAGTACATAGAGAGCATATAGTAGTGCTAGGAGCTGAAATGGTGATGAGATGGATCAATCACTGTGATTACTGAGAGCTGATGGTCAGTCTGGCTGTGAGGGTGTGATGTGATTGGTTGGCTGGAATCATGCCCAACATTAATGAGGCGTTCAGGAACGCAGGTGAGCGTTGGGCATGCAGGCTCCTGATTGGATAGAATCACCTGTTTTATCATTTCAGACTTGGTAAGTTTCAAAGCTGCAGCTGATTCATTCGTAAAGAGGAAACCGATCAGCCGTTTTGATTTAAAAAATCCTCCAAGCTTCTCCGTGATGTCACATTTCCTTTGAGCCAGCCGAGCAGTTACAGGTGACACTCATTTGTTTCTTTCTGCAGGTTTCTGTTCCACTCAAACCTCTAGTCCCAAAAAAGCCCCGCCCTCCAGCCATGCCGTCCAACCCCTACCTTCCGCCACACCCCGTCTACAACTCCAACAGTAAACCGCCGCCACACGGGGCAGTCGCACCTGCTGCTGCCGGACCCAACAGGTACACCCGACAGCTTTTTGTCTCTTTCTTAAAGCTTTCTGATCTAAGACGATGACGTAAGTGTACTTCCTCAAGGTTTCCTGTAATCTGACAGGAAGAGACACGAGGACATGTTTGCATCATGAGTGAAATTGCAGCTGTGTTTGAGCCAATCCGCTCGTCCAACAGACGAAGAGTGGAGCTAATCGTTCAACATGTACAGTTGTGACTTTTTAACAGGAAGCTGCTCTTTTTGTAAAGTGTTGCACAAATGCCAGGGCGTGAAAACGTGCGAGTGAGGGTGGCGGCTTCCTGTGGCGGGTATGCAGCAGGGCGGAGGCGCTGAACTCTCAGGAATCTCTGCAAATTTGATTCAGCATCACACCTCTCAGCACATGAAACTAGAACAGCGTCAAGCATAAACAATAAAACCTGAGAAACCAGAGTCACAGGCGCCTGAAACGGTTTGAAGATGTAAACGTGTTGAAACTGAATTTGAAACGTGTGCAGGAGCTGTTTGCTCCGCCGAAGGCCGTCTCTGATGTTAGCCTTAATGTAAAAGTGAGCCGTGAGCAGTAACGTCTTCTCTCCTCTGTGCAGACGGCCTCCTCTTCCTCCGCTGCGACCCGCCGTCCCTCTGAAGGTGGAGTCCTCTCCTCCGCTCTGACCCCCCGGGTGACCTTTGACTGATCACAGAGCAGCTGAAGGTGGAGACGATGGAGATGATGGAGACTCGCTGTCACCGGATTTCATCCTCACGAGTATTAATGAGCGCTGCTGTATCTCTGGAGTTCAGTGCCTTGCTCAGCAGCACCTCGGCAGCGGTTAATGTGGATGTTTGGGTGACGTCACGTTCATTCAGTGCCTTGCTTAAAGACCCTCGCACCGACCTATGATTAGTGGTTTCCAAACTGTGGTCCGCGGCCCATCTGCAGACGTTTCGGTTGTTTGTTTTTTTTAAGACGTTGTTTTTAGTGAAACTTTGTTTTTTTTAAATAAACGCGTATGCGCCCGGACAGACTTCCTGCCTGCTCCAGGATCTTCTGATCAACAAAGACTTGGATGAATGTTCGAGTGGGCAGCAGGAGATGAGTCACAGATTTGCTACGTTTTATTTTCTGTTACAGAGAAAACAGATTTTTTGCTCGGAATATTTTTATGAAGATTCCCACACACAGGCTCGAGTCGCTATTGGACAACATCCTCGCTCTTATTTTGAAAGCTGCACTGCTGCTGACCCGAGCCCAGCTCTGTTTCCCTACAGACGCCGTCTCTGCGTCCGCAGCTGGCGATGACTCTGTGCTCCTCCCTCTCCTGGGATACACAGTGAGCTGGACGAGCGACCAATCACACCCTGCAGCAGGTGTACAGGAAGTGCAATCACCAGCTGAGCTCCGCCACAGTCAGAGGAGAGGCGGCTGATGACGGCTCCTCCTGGCACAGAGTGGGCACAGAGCAGCAGTCTGGTGCGTTGTGATCCATGCGTGACTTCCTGCCTCACTGATGCCGCATATGCAGCGTCACTGTGCAGGAAACGCCGCTGTCAGGAAGAGCGACTGCGAATAAAGCTGTAACGCTGCTAACTGTGCTGACTTTATTCTGAAAATGTCTCCATCCTAACTTTCACGTATTCACAGGAATAAAGTAAGACGAGGCTTTTGGCCGTCATCACTTTGATCTCAGAGCTTCAGCCTTTATTTTGCAAATGTCACAATAAAGGATCAGGACTTTATGCTGTTACGTAATGTCAGTGAGCTTTTGTTTTTTTAAGGTTTCTACTGTACAAACGCTGCTCTGATGGCGTCGGTCTTTGCAGGTTTTATTTTAGTGCTTTTTATGTACGTGTGTACTTTGACTTTATTGTGAAAATCTGAGGTTTTTGTTCTTTTCTTAAATGTTCGCCACACCTCTCTCGCCTTCGCCCGCGTGTTTCTACACCTGCTGACTGTGTTTAATTTTGCTGGCTCGTGTTTTTTTTTTTTTATTTTCTGAACCCGCCTTGAGAGCAGAGACAGCAGGAATGTGCGCCGATCGTTTGTAACGTGACACCAAAGAAACGCTGGGAGACTAAAGCGATGAAGATTCAGAGGAAGGTTGATGTGAGCTGCTAAAGGAGCAGTTTGCAGTTTAACCATCGCCTCGTCGCCTTCTCGCTTGCAGCTGTGTGACGTGCTTCAATTTAAAGACATCTGAGAAAACGTGACTGTTGCCTTTTTGTAGTTTCTGTCCTTGGATCCTGGAGGTGGACCGAGCGGTCCCCAGTCACCCCGAGAGGGCTGGGGGTTGATTCCTGTCCAGCCTGTGTGCCTGCTATTAGATTAAACTGCAGTGATGTGAATAAAAGAAAGTCTGACGCCTCAACTTCAGTTATTTTGTCCCCACTGTGAATAAATGTTTCTAGGTGGTGTTCAATAGAACAGACAGCTGCTGTATTCAGAGCAGATTCACATAAACCTGCAGTAAAATAAACATATCAATAAAAATATATATATATATTTGAAACAGCCTGGCCTTGCTTCTAGAGTAAGAGCGGATGTGCACTTTTTTTTTCATTTATTATGAAAAACCAACGCAAGAAGCATGGAGGGTAAAACCTCGAGTCTGAAGCCTCGGGCTGTCGTCGGGTTTGAGTGACTCTGTCTGCACCAAGTGACTGAAAAACCTGGTTATTCCTCCTGCTTCACTAGAACGAGCAGAAGCTACAAAATGCACTTTGCTTTTCTCAGTTTGACCTGAGACCCTGAACTCAGGAAGTGTCGCTGAGGTCAGATCATCTCTAAGCCTCCTGCACGACCGCAGGAACCACGGACTGTCGACACAGAATAATAATAATGGATTGCATTTATAGAGCGCTTTACAATGCCACTATTCATTCACTCTCACATCCACACACTGGTGGAGGCAGCTACAGCTGTAGCCACAGCTGCCCTGGGGCAGACTGACAGAAGCCAGGCCCCTCTGGCCATCACCAGTAGGCAGAAGGTGAAGTGTCTTGCCCAAGGACACAACGACCAGGACAGAGAGCCCGGGGATCGAACCGGCGACCTTCCGGTTACAGATGTGCTACAGAGTCACTCAGAGAGGCCACGCCCTTTGCAATGCAAACTTTAAGCCTTAAATAAATCTCCGCCCTGCAGGTCGCTGAAGCCTCGTTAATGTTTATGAAGCCAAACATCATGAAACCTCTGAGGTCTGCTGATCCAGATCACTTTCTTTAAAAGTGTGGGAATAAAAACAAGAAAAAGAACAAGCTCACATTCAAAGGCAGGAAGGTGAAGTCCAGGCACTGACGAGCTTCTCCTTTCTCAGTTTCTGGCTCGTTTGTTTCTTCGTCTGTACTTTTTCTTGTTTCCAGAGGGATTTTTCTGTCTCCCCTGAATTTCACAGCAGCGCCTGTTTGTCTGGCTTCTTTGTAGAAGTGAATCTGAATAACGTGGGGAACAAAAGCGACTTTCTGCAGAATTATGAACTCCACTGTAAATAAACTGTCTCATGGAGGATGTGAAAACGACGAAAAAGTCAGATTCAATCTCTCTCAAATAAATAAATAAAAACAGCTGTAATGCTCGGACATCAGAAGACTTCCTGCAGATGTTAGATTAGATGTTGGCTGCAGACTGAAAACTGGCTGATATTAAGAGTATTTACAGAGTGTGGAATCACTCCATGACACTGATCATGTTGCAGATGCCGTGAGCTGCTGTAATTATGAGGGGTTAAAGAGATTATGGGGGAAACAGCCTAAGATTTGTTTGTATTGCACATGTTGGGGCGATCGTGGCTCAAGAGTTGGGAGTTCGTCTTGTAATCTGAAGGTTGCCGGTTCGAGCCCCGGCTCCTTGGGCAAGACGCTTCACCCGTTGCCTACTGGTGGTGGTCAGAGGGCCCGGTGGCGCCAGTGTCCGGCAGCCTCGCCTCTGTCAGTGCGCCCCAGGGTGGCTGTGGCTACAATGTAGCTGCCATCACCAGTGTGTGAATGTGTGGATGACAGGTTGTGTAAAGCGCTTTGGGGTCCTTAGGGACGAGTACAGTGCTGTACAAATACAGGCCATTTCCCATGTTTGTCTCCACGGCGACCTGTAACTTTGTAAACCCCCACATCCACCTCCGTCCATCACCGCCTCCTCTCCTACCACATCCACTCTAATAGAACTCCTCGGTTCCTCGGAGCAAGACAACATCTCCCGGTCTGACTGAAAGCATCCTCACATCGATCTTCACGTCCATTAAAGAGTCCAGCAGACTGTGAAAGTCTCTCTCTCGCCTCTGCCGCAGGAAAACCAAGCAAAGAGCACTTACAGCGGGCTCGGGTCCCACCGGAGACTTCCCTCCCCGAGCCGCATCACTGCCGTCCAACACAAACGAGCTCGGAAGCAGGAATTTCCTTCCTGTGTTACCTCCCAGCACACGCTCGAGTCTCAGATTCAGCTCGTGAAGGGCTCTGTTTTCAACATCAGATGGTGAACGCAAAGCTTCACGCATGACTTCACAGTCACCCGCCACTTTGTTAGGTACACCTGTTCCACTGCTCGTGAAAGAAAACATCTAATGGAAGCCACTCCATCCATGTGGAAATGATAAAGTTCAAACTGAGCAGCAGGTGAGTGTGGCGTGTTAGCTGGAGTCAGACTCTGCTGATCTGCTGGGATTTGCCCTCGTAAACATTTGTAGAGTTTCCACAGAAAGATCCAGTGAGCAGCGGTTCTCTGGGAGAAAATGAGCTGATGGGAACAAAGTTACAGCTCGGGTCTGCAGAAGAGCATCTCTGAATGCACAGCATGATGGGCCATAGCAGCAGAAGACCACACAGTGTGCACATCTTCTGATGAGCGCTTCCAGCACCTCAAACAGACGCCTGCCCAGCAGAGCACTGCAGCAGCTGCGTGGTGCTCTGCTGATGTTTCCAGCGTTTAGATGAATCTCTGCCATGAAGAATTAATGCAGGTCTGAAGGTGGAAGGACTCAAACCAGGTGCAACTAACAAATTGGCGTGTGAGTGTTGTAAGTTGCATTTTAAAGGCCATCACTCGTGCTCGGTGGCTTCTTCGCGTTGGAGCAGAAACGAGTTGAAGTGGTCTTCAGCGCTCGTCTCCACGCGCTGGTTTGTAGGTCAATGCTTTTTCTTCCTGTACATGCGTGCCATGGGGTGAAACGGAAAAGCAGTGGGTTGATGAGGGCGGATGTGAAATAAGGTGAAGCACCGCAGAGGAACAGGAGAAGCAAAGAGAAAACCAAAGTCCCCTGATCAGCTTTCAGAGGAACAAACGAGACTCTCATTTTAGCGTCTTTAGTGAAAATAAGTTATCTGCACAGCGTGACACGAGTCAGCTCAGCCCAGCACTGAGGCTGTGCAGAGAAGCTTCCACCCTCCTCCCTCTGACCTCCGACCGCTGCGAGGAGGAAGCTGTGGTCGTGTTGCTCAGTGATCAGAGCCGCATTGGCTCAGAGCTCGGCAGAGGCGACAGACGAGCTGCACGTTTAACAAAGCTCTGCTCCATCACCTTCACCAGCTCATCCATCATGGCTCTCCCAGCCGTCCTCCTCCTCCTCCACCTCCTGTTGAGCTCCGAGGGTTCCCTCTCTCCTCCGCGGATCTCCTTCGCTCTCAGTAAGTCCAACGCTTTGTTTTAATTTTGTGCTTGAGTCTCGCAGAGTCTCCGTCCCTCTTTTTTATTGTTCTGTTTTTTCTTTAAAGGGAAAAAAGTTTATGAAATCTTTGGATGTTTTTTAGTTTTGCTCCCAAAAGCAGATTTTCTCAGTGCGGGGTTAATAATGATACTGTGATGTGAGAGGTGATGTTTTCACATCTGTTTGTCTTGGAAAAACAATGTAAAAGCTTTTTTTGTTGCTTCAAAGTCAGCTGATTTTCTGCCTGCACGGCAGAGATGCGTCTGTTCGGCCTGATGGCGCTTTGCACGAACCATCTAAGGTCTTATCTTTGTAATATCTGCTGTGATGCGTTCACTTCCCCGGGGAGCTGTCCTCATTCCGAGCTTGTGAAACAGAGTTCGGTCACATGTTCAGCTGAGACTCGTGAATATGACGAGTTTGTCTCTGAAAACAGGAAAATGATCTAACAGGAAAGATTTCACACATAGCTGCATGTTGCAAACATTAACGCACCAGCGCGCACTGCGGAATAATCCTTCCTTGTCTTACACCGGCGCCGCGCTTCACCCACGCTGCGTGCAAACTGATGTATTTCACGTTTCTGACACCAACTCGGTCCACACAGTGTTTTCTGTTGTGCAGTCACATGCAGCCGGGTCAATGCTGTGCTGTGCGGGGGCGTGGACGCACAGAGGAGTCGTGCCAGATGTTGTGTCAGCTGGACGGACTTTCAGAGCTATCGCTTTCTGTAGGCTGCAGCTGTGGCCGCGAGTTTTCCAGGAGAGTTTGTGCAATCGTTTGGCTTCGCACGCTGGAAACGTGTTTACAGCAGTGGGATCGAAGCAGCTGGGATTCATCATCAACTCTCGCGGGAACCTCCGCACTTCCAGATTTTCCCACCCAAACCCGTAATCCGAGCGAACTTCATCATTCTCCATTCTTTGCTTCTGATTCATATGTAAATGATGCAAACCTCTGTCGCCTTCAGTGTAAAAACACAGCTGCTGGAGGACAGACTCGCACCTCCGCCAGCTCCGGCTCACTGGAACCAGTCACGTAAGTTAACACTGCTGCTGACAGGCAGGATGACAGACGTGACAGCATCCTGTCAGGCTCCAGAAGTTGGAGACAAGTTTGCGGAGAGAAGCGTCGACAGCTTCCGAGTCTCAGTAACAGCAGTGTGGGTGCAAAACGACCCCCGGCACCTTCAGCAGGAGGCCTGCACTCAGAGCTCGGTGCAACAGTCACTTCTCCATTTCAGAAAAGAAGTTGGGCCTTTATCGAGTTGAGCAATGGCATCAAGTAAACCACTAGCTTTGGTTAATCGATTTATTGGTAAATTTATTATATCCCAGAGCGGCCAATTAACACCTGTGTGGAACAAAGAGCTCCAACATTCGCTTAAACAGTCACAAGCAGGTGAAAGCGTCACTATATCATCTCGCTAGTTTACAGCTCCACATAAACTCTGTTAAACAACAGTTTGCTATCACTTATTAAAGGATGGATGAAGCTCGTGCCACTGCCAGCTTCTTGTTAACAGGTAACATGCGTTTCTTTCTGCTTCTCCTTTTTCCTGCTTTAAAATAAAAGCAGAAACTTTTTAAAACAAATATATGTGAAAATATATCTCAAAGATGTCCGACCATTTAAAGGTCATTTACACAAAAAAGAGAAATGTAACACTGATGATTTCTAAACTCAGAATGACCTTAAAGCCTGAGGCTTTTTACAAAA